AAGGTGTTTCGACGGCTCGGTAGCAGAGTGCACCAAGCTCCTTATACGAGGAAATCGCTTGCAATTTCTGTACGCAAGTGATCTCCAACCCGGAATGTTGGCCCCGAATCGCAATAGCTATCACAGCTATCCTAATCTATATAATTATAATAACAGCCTTCGTCAGCTTCACCTTAATACGCAAATCGTTACGATGTCTCCGTCACATCCGCGGCAAAATCAACCACAAGATGTCAACCTACCTTATCCGCGTATACAAACAAAATACAAACATTCAGACGATTACATTGCCTTGTTAGAATTAGATAAGGTCAACACAAAGTGGAAAAACACTACAATGATACGTCTACTAACAATACTGATGTGGACCGTCAGTGTCGTAACAGCTGTCAACAAACAACAACAGATTCCGACAGAGTGGTCACGATTCCGCTAGGAATAGATAGGGGTAGTGCGCTTGATAACGATGATTCGAGAAATGTTGTTATTGGAGCAATAGCAAGTGACATAGTCTTCCGCAGGATTGCATCTACAGGTGTCTTTGATTACGCAGTTTGGAGTAGTGTTTTTACTTTGTGGTCCTTGAGAATTGTAATTGCATACATAACTGAATTCGTGTTCTGGACGTAAGAAAGCTGTAATATGTCCGTTGGTGATAAATCGTTTATTTAGGATGGAGAAAGGTGAGTAGGAAAAGCTTGTTACTCCCAACGATAGATTTGCAATTGTCTTCTTGGTGTAAGGTTTGGTTTCGAGTTTTTGAGATATTTGTTTAGCTCCATTTATCCGAAGTTCGAGTAAAACAGTTTCTGACCATGATGGACAATGGAAGACCGCAAAGAAATCGTCGTCGATTGGGACATAGTATGTCCTGTAAAACAGGCATCCTGATGAAGGGTAGCCGCAAGAGCAAACCAATCCTCCACAAGATTCGGAGCAGTATTTTATTCCTGTGTAGTTGTTCGCTTCTTCTAATTCTTCGACTAATGTCTCCGGGCTAATTTTTGCGCATTTGAGTCCCGTACACGTACCCAATGAGGGCAGTGCTTGCTATATTCCACCTAGGCGATAGTGTTTCTTGTGTGATATAGGGTTTCTTTTCGACATCGAAGGATCAAGGATTTGAGCGTTGTTCGCATGATATGAAGGTTTTGATTGCCAGTTTGTGTTGAATACACAAAGAAGATTGCATTTGATTGAGTTGAGTGTAAAGTGTTGTCTGATTGTGACAGTTGGTCTCTGAGGGGTTACATTGAGATACAGTTGATGGTATTGTTGTTGTTTGTTGACAGCTGTGTACGACACTGACGGTCTACATCAGTATTGTTAGTAGATGTATCATTGTAGTTTTTCCTCTTTGTGTTGACTTTATCTGATTCTAACAAGGCAATGTCATCGTCTGAATGTTTGTATTTTGTTTGTATACGCGGAGAAGGTAGGTTGACATCTTGTGTTTGATTTTGCCGCGGATGTGACGGAGACATCGCAACGATTTGCGCACTAAGGTAAAGCTGACGAAGGCTGTTATTATAATTATATAGTTTAGGATAGCTGCGATAGCTATTGCGATTCGGGGCCAACATTCCGGGTTGGAGATCATTTGCGTACAGAAATTGCAAGCGATTTNCGTAAAAGGAGCTTGGTGGGCATGCCCAGAGTGTGGCATGTGTTCTATTATTGGTTATTGTTTTTGTTGTAACATGATATGAGTGTAGAGTAATTTCAGGAGAAAATGGAACTGTTATGTTCTGGCTAGGGTCAGGGATTTCTATGCATTAGCCATTACCGCACACTTGTATGCGATCGGTAGGGTACGGCATTCCTATGTGTATTCCACCTGTTAGACATTTTAATCGAGGGTTTGCGTGATTCATTGCGTTTGTAGCTTGAAATAATGTCATTGTTATGGTAAGTGTGAGCCAGTGCTTCCAAAAAGAGGAATGACGGTAAGGCGTTCGCGATTCTTCAGTGTGAGTCGTCATGGCATACGTGCTGTACTTTTTGTTGAGTTTGGCTTTACGAGGGAGCATTGGGCGTGTTCGTTGTTTCGTTGAGGGGTAGTCGACGGATGAGTCGATGCTATTAGATGTAATGGTATCGTTATTGGTTGAATCACTATCGGTGATGCTGTTGTTTTCTTGTGGATTTGCTTTTCTTTCGTTTTCACCATCTAACTCCAAGGGGTGAGCATATTTACTGATCGTTCGATGTCTGATTTTGTGGTTCGCCACTTGACGGTTGAAGTCTGTTATGAGGTCTAAAGGCCATGCGAGAGGTGGTAGTTTTTCATCCATGACAAGGACTACTCCGATTTTTGGGTGTGTGCGAGTAAAGCTTTTCTGCTTGATCCTGTGTTGATGGAAATTGCGTAGTTCCAGGAGATACGTATTATGCCATTCATGCCAAAGGCACTTCAAGTAGGTCATCTGTGTGCGGTAGTATTGTATGGCCTGGTCTTTTGTGGAAACGTAAGGGAGGTATTCCGTGTCGTGGTTATCATCAATTGTGATCGTACCTGAGAATGGTAAGAGATTGGCTTTAGGAACCAGAAAATCTATTGGACGGATCATTAATGAGTCTTCCAAGGTACTTCCTGCGTACGCCAGAGGTCTGGAATTGACCATTGCTTCACCTTCCAAACTGTTGTTAGGAATGTAGTTTCGTCGGGTAGTTTTCTTGTTAATAAACGTTTAAGGGTTAGTTTTATCATGCCAATCAATCTTTCATAAAATCCGCCTTCCCAGGGTAAAAGCGGTGTGATGAATTTCCATGGGATCTCTTTTTTGGTAAGGAAAGTTTGGATGGTGGTATTGACGCGTACACTGTCTGTGTTTTCCATGGAAAGAATTTCGTTGTTGTATTTGAAGTTAGTGGCGTTGTCTAAAATGATGAGTGCGGGTGTTCCTCTCCGAGATATGAACCTTCGTAAGATGTTGATAAGTTTCAAAGCAGTCAGGTTGCTAGTGACTTCCAAGTGAATTGCTCGAGTAGCCATGCATGTTACTAAAAATATCCATCGTTTGATATATTTGATTTTGTCCGAGTCTACAATCGAGAACGGGCCAGCTAATACCTTGTGAGAAAAGGGGAGGTGAAGGTTGTGTGCGTGTGAATGGTAGAGGAGGTGAATTTGGGTAAAAGTATGGTTTCCATTCCAGCGTTTGCAAATCAGACATTGTTTTGAAATTTCTCGTACTGCTTGTCTTCCTTTTGGAAGCCAATAACGAAGGCGTAGGTTGGCCAGTGTACCAAACATTGACCCCTTAATGACCACAACGTGTGTGAGTGTCTCGAATTATTAAATGTGTAAGGTGTTGGTTAGGTAGAAGGAGGATGGACTCTGTTGTGTCTCTAGGTAGATGCTTCTCTTGGATTTTTCCTCGGCAGCGAATGATGTTCTGCTCATCTTTGTATAGACCGAGTTGGCTCCACTTTTGCTGGTCGTCCTTTGTCAAGTTACGTTGCATAGTTCTGGTTAGTAAAGATTCCGCACATTCAATGTCGCTTACCTGCAGCGAAGTTAATGGGTGGGTTGATGAGATATGGTCTAGTTCTGCTTGGTGTGAGGTAGCCTTGTTTTACTGTCCATCGTTGGTTTATCGTATAGGATATGTTTAATAAAGTTTAAAATAAGAACAGTTACCTGTCGCAATGTTTTCAGTGATGAGAATTTTGTAATGAAGAGACAGGATCCAGATGGTATGTTTGAGGAAATAAATAATACTGTGGGTTGGTTGTTCTGCTGTGTGTCCGTTTGAGTGTGCCACGAGAATTCTTGAAATTCTGGCCAACTTTTGCCTTGCTTTCTTGAGAGTGTTCGTTCTGACCACAATATTTGATGGGACATTTGTTCCTTCGTGAGTCTTCTGTAGCGCAGTCTGCAGAGTTCTGTTCCGGTGGTATAAAACGTAGATGAGTTTGGTTGATGTTTTCTTTCCATGATTGGAGTGTTTTTCATGTTTCTTTAAAGCGATTGTTTACAATGTCCCACTGTTCGAGTTAGTCTGAATCCAATGGAGGGCGACTTGTGAATCGCTGTAGATATTAATAGTTGATATCTTTAATTTGATTTCTCTGAGGATGAAGTTTATGAGCGCGTTCCTATCAAAAGTGCGAGATACACTACTGTTGCGTATGCGCGAATAGAGGCGTCAACGAATGAGTGAATTGAGTATTGGGTATCGTCTCGAGGACTGAGAGTGTTCCTAGGGAATTGAACTGTGAAACCGTTCGCGTGTCGCATATGTTGTGCCACACTTTATTGTATTCCTGAAGAGTAGCTCGTCCCAATTTTGTTTTTGTTTCCATAGATCCTGGAGAAGAAGTTTTGCTGGAAGGAGAATTGGTAGCAGAAATCCAAAAGGGTCGAAAGTAGAATGTGTGGCTTGAAGAATTTTACGTTTAGTCGGATATGCTGTGTAGGTCAACTTACATGAGGGTGTAAAAGTACCTTTGGTGTAGTCCCAAGGAATACCTAGAATTTTGACAAAGGAGGTTGTTATTTTGTCTTCGTCAATTATGTGGGAGTAGCAATTATCATCATTTGTTATAAATTGCCGAAGAATCATGAACATGTTAGCGAAGATCTTTTTACAAGTATGATAGGGGTTGAGAAGGGACTGTGCCGATGAGTTTAACAACAGGATATTATCCACACATAAATTCTCGATTAATTGTTCCATTGTAGTTAGTTTATCCTTGTGTTTTTGTTGTTCGAGTCCATATTGTATTAATATACCCAACAGGAATGATGAGGCTTTAGTGCCGAATGGGAGCCTGCAGAAGCGGAGTATGCGTATATTATTCAGTGTGGGAGATGTGTTGACGTTTTTTAATCATAAGAATCGAACGGAGTCACGTTCTGATTCTTCTAGCTGAATCATATGGAATGCGTTTTCTACGTCTGCTATTAGTATCTTGGAGCCGAGTCGGGATCGTAAAAGAATACCAAATAAATTGGGTAAGATCAGAGGTCCTTAGATAATGTCATTGAGGCTCAATTAACCTTTCATTTTTGATGAGGCATCGAGCACGATTCCGGTCTCAGTAGTTGCACTAGTGGACTTTATCAGTGCTTGATGGGGTATGTAGTATATGGGACTGGAAGTTTGTGGTTCGGTAGGGATGTCTTCTACGAATCCTTTAGCATGTTGTTCTTTAATGATGGCACAGTATTCTTTCCAGCATTTAGGATTTTTGTCTTTCATTTTATATAGTTGGTGTAACCTGCTGAGAGCGAGATTATGGTTGTTTGCTAGGCGGAATTTGTTAGGCTTTCAGGGGAACTTACTGTGAATTTTGCCATCTACGTCTTGTACTGTGGAGTAAAGGTGGAAATAATTTGTCTGTTAATTCTTCACCAGTTTGTAGTTCTTCTGTGCCTATACCAGGTAGTTTCCAAAGATCTGAGTAGTCCGTGTGTGTTGTCGTTGTGCATAGATCGATGGTGTTTATAAGTTGGCATGGTTTTGTTGGATGAGTGTAATGGTTGCGAGAGTTCCCTGATATTACGGGACCTAAGATAGTAGGCGTTATGAAGTATTCTGAAGGTAATGAAATGATGGGTTCGTTAGTGAGTAGTATTTCGAGCCCTAATAGGATATCGGGGATAATATCCATGGAAGAATCTTGAGACAATGCTTTCTCCAAGTGAGGGTGTGTTGTGATAGAAATAGTTGGTCTTCTATCGGAAGTTCTGGTAGTGTGAGTATATGGGTTAAAGTGTCAACGGTAAGTAAGGATACTTCGAATGAATGACCTTTTCGTTGAGGAGCGCAACTTTGATGTGTTTTACTTTTTTAACTTCAGCGCGTCCACCGAATGTGTCCACATTTATGATTGTTTCGTATTCAGTGTCTATGTAGTTGTAGTCGGCTTGCCGAATCTAGTATGGCGTAAGCATATTCCATTTTGTTGTTGAGTTAGTTTTTAGCTTGGACTTGACTGTGACCACCAAACGGGACGATGACTACCGTACTATTGCTGATGATGTCTGAATCTGCCTGATATTGAAAATAGATGTTTGTGTTAATATGTGGTTGTAGGGAGTAGTTTTGGTTCATCTGAGGTAAATTACGTTAGATTTAACTGAAAATTTTTACCTTCGCTTTTTTTGTTTTTGCTGATGTTGTGGATGGTGAGTACGGAAGTGAGTGTAGCAGCGAATTGAAGTTAGCCGACCAAGAGATGCGAAGGTTGGGGGAGGTACGGTGTTGGGCTTTTATATAGGTCATGAGTATGTATACTGGTATGAGAGTGTGAGATGTTATAAGCTAATAAGCGGATTTCTCAAGCTCGCTTGTTCATGTTGACATTCTTCATATAAGCGTACTCTGACCCTGATCGTTGCATTTTTTTNTTTTTTTGCAAAGGTCTTGCTTTTGTTGGATGTTTTCTGTCACGCCAAGCGTTCTGGCGTGTTATGTTTCTTCATAACGATTATGTTCGCTTTCTTTCTTTCTTTCTTGTCTACGTTTATTTACGTTTATTGTGATTTCGTTTTGCTTGTGTTTATTATGATTTGGTTTGTAACGATAAGCTGTAAACCTCTTATGCTTTTTTTTTCTTTTCCTTTTTTTGTTTTGTGATGTGGTTTACATTCTGATTTTATATGATTGACGTTCCCTCCTTTTTTCTGTTTTTGTTTTGTTTGTTTTTTTTTGTTTTGTTTCAGTCTTTTGTTTCGTTTTTTTGTTTTTTTTGTAATTTTGTTTTTTTTTCGTTTCGTTTGTGATGGTAAGTTTTGAAACCTCTTGTATTTGTTGTCTTTTTTTGTTTTGTTTTGTTTTCTTTGCCTAAACAAATATTCATTCTATCAAAGTTTATTCGCAACTTGAATAATTGCCATCTTTAGTTTCAACATTTTTGACTTGACTGCGGTGACCTTGCTTTTCGGCTTCATCCCCTTTCTCGATGGGGGGGGGGGGGGGGGGGGCGGTTGGTCATTGATGAGCCACTGGCCCCACCCGATGACATGCTCTAGTTCTTGCACTCCAAGGAGAGCAGGCTCGTTGTGAGGAAACGTAGTTGTCGTCGTACAATTCGGTCGTGCTGTTCGATTTGCTCGAATATTGTTTGTTGTCGACGCGGTATTGATCCACTCTCTCCATGCTGAACAAAGTATTATTAATTGTAAAATTTAAGTTTTGAAGATGAGAAAAAAAATTTTGAGATAATGAAGGTTAATACCTTTTTTTGCAAACAGTTTAAGAAAAAAAGGACTTTATTGAAACGTTCCATAAGCAATGAATGTTATCTCGATGTTTCATTGTTCTTGGTTTATTCTCTTCGAAAGCCTTCGTCTCTCCACGACGCCCGCATGCATTCAGCAAGTCGTCCTCTTAGGTTGTAGATTGCAGCAAATGCGATGGATAGGCATTCTTCATACTCTAGGAGTTTCCTCATATGATCTTCTGCAAATACATTGCCTGGGGACGAGGCCCTATCCACATGTGTTGTGGGTGAGTCGATGTTGGGACGGTCGTTCGGTCGTTGGCTGACGTTGCAGAAGTTCGGTCGTTGGATGACATTGCAGTTGAATAGCAGTAGTACTGTTAGGTAGCAGGATTGGGACGCTTTTAAAGGGTTGATTTTGTTGTAATATCGTGGAGTGGAATTTCTTTGGGTCTCCAGGTATTCAAAGTTAATTTTTTGTTCTCATTCTGGTAATCATAACAATGGTTTTATTGTGTTTTAATGTTGCAGAAAACGAGCAGCTCTGAAAAACGAGTTGTGTAGCTCTTATCAATCTGAAATATCTAAAAATTTTTTTGCATTTTATACTTTACCTTCTTTGGTTTTTTTGTGATCGGGTCTATTTGGGTTTGTTGTAGTTGCATCCAATCGATTGGCGTGATAAAGCTTTGACCAGTTGGGTTACCAAATGAGCTATTATTCCACTCCTCGCTCGAAGGAGATGGGCCGGCTATAAGGGAAACCCGTACAGGAGCCCTGACTTTTCAGGGATTGACATAGGCCGGCAACAACAGGAGCCCTGACTTCTCAGGCATTGACATAGGCCGGCAACAACAGGTGATATTGATGCTGAAGAAAGATCTCCTTTTACGGAGCCTCGATGAATCGAACAATCTGATGGAACGCCAATGGCGTTGAAACAGATTGTCCCTAACTCGGCGGATGAATGTAATATAATGATATCAGTGATCATGCTCTATCAAAAAGGACCCATGTGACGTCTTACGTGGGAAATCATATCATAAATCACGAGCATATAACTCTATACTATCTTCATTTTTGACGTGTTGTGTTCTTTCCAATTCCTCACTTTCTCTGTTGCCTGTTTTCTGTTTTTCGTTCTTAGTTTTATCCCATTTTTTTTCCATTTTGTTGTTGTTTTTGTTTTTTTTTTGACTTTTAAATTTTTTCTCAGAATTGCATTGTAAATATTGTGGACTCGGGTTCTTTTTGGATCTTTCGATGCACCATGTTGGGGATTGAATGTGGCCGAATGCACCATGTTTCGTCGGCTCGGTGGTAGAGCGCTCGATAGGATATTTATTCCAATATTTATTGGGTCAACAAGTCGTAAATACAATTCGTACCATTACAAAGTCAAACATTCTGAGGATTGTGCATCCTTGTTCGTCTTGTTTTGGAATTGCTGGTGGTGGGTCCGACAGGCGACAGGTTGGAGCGCTCAGCGTACCTCCTTCGAAATGTTGCATCGCACAGCTCTTGTTCATTGTTCATTGGGAGCGATTGTCTGTCTCCCTTGTAATTGGGTTGCTGGTGAGCAGAGGGCGAGGAATTTGGGGTTGAGAGCAGTACCGTTGACGGCACTGCCCGATTTTGGAACCGCCGAGCTGTGGAGTCGCCGAATTGTCAAGAACTGCTCGAGCTGTCGAGCTCGCCGAGAGCTGTCGAGAGCTCGAGAGAACTGGAACCGGAACTGGTGGACTGACACAAACTGCACCGCCCATATAAGCCGCCCAAAAAATGGGCCCCGGTGGGCGGTGCATTTGGTGTTTGGTATGAGAACCTACGAAATTCCAGCAATTTTGTACTTTGGTGTGGAAATAAGCGAAGTTTTTTATTTGGAGCCTCGCTGGAAGTATTGATTGACTGATGAAGGTATAATGTGTTCTCTCGTAATCATTTTGAAGAGTCATGACAAAAGGGATGTCACAACAGTAATGTTGTCAATATGCTTACTGACCGCTGCAAACATGTTATTGAGATCGGCCAACAAAGAAGATGTAGTGTAGCTAATGCTGTATGACAGCATATGACAGACTTCCTTCGATTCCGTCCACACGTCGTTGATCGCCTTCACCTTGGCATCTCGAAGAGCTTTAGCGTGTCTTTCCTCCACCACGGTGTCGTCCGCAATGTTAAAGAGAATTGGGCTGTTTCAATGGTGAACAAGTTGGTCGAATTACTGGAGGCATGTCTAGATGGAGGCGGCCGCCCTAGGTTCACGAGAGTTACCACGAGAAGACAAGTGAGACTGGCTCATAGATGAACAAAAACTAAATGATGGTTCTAAGTGGGGGTATCAGCTTATATACATATGTTTACGAGGAGGAGAAAGAGGCGGTCCGATTCCGTACGGTGACTGATTAGGACGAAGAAGAACTGCTGGAAAAGAGAAGAAAAGGTCACGACCTCTGACCTACTGCCCCAACGATTCGCTTCACCATAAAAAATCCGCGGAATTTTAAACCACAAGCATTTGCAAAAACTGTAAAAGGAAATTGAGATTAGTCAAAAAGGCGCTGCAAACGTTTCACAGAAGACTGAGCTTAGTCATAGTCAAGATAGAGGCGAGAAAGTATCATAGTACAGCTAATAAGAAGCAAGTTGAAATGACGAACATAATATACAAAATGCGAGAACGAGTACGTCGACAGTGCGATACTGTGATCGAGCAAGGGGGAGAAAATTGCTCTGTGAGGTCAAAATAGCAAGCAACACGTGAACGCGAATTTTAATACGTTCGACCATGATGGCTCACTCATCCCCTTGCTACGTAAGCAACAGATTAATATAATCGTCTGCCGCCTCTGCCGTCCAAATGGCGCAGGGCGGGTGATCTCCGATATGAAGCGACCACTCGTGGTTTGAGGTTCTCTAGATCGGGTCCTCCGCCGCACACTGGGTTTGTGAACGCCTTCACCGTCAAGATAGGGGACGCCCGCAAGCTGAGGTGTGTCCCGCCCTGTTTGGCTGGCCCTCGGGGAGGGGATCC